GGGGGGGGGGGGGGGGGGGGGGGGGGGGGGGGGGGGGGGGGGGGTGATCAGTCTCTGTGAGATGATGTCTCTTTTTATATTTTTGTGCTTTTATCTGATGCACAAGAAGGCAGGCAGGGGTTCGGTGATGTGCTCAAAGACATTTTGAGAGGACACATACAGTAGGCTGCAGATTCTTGGTCTGTAAGGGTTGTCAAGTGATGACTTCACAGCTAAATTAAATGATTGTATGATTAGGATAAATACCAAAATCTTTCCTTTTTTTTTGGTTCATTATTTATTACTATCTAACATCAAGACTACAGCCTAGTTCAGAATGCCAGGCCAAATCTGTTTTTCGCATAGCCAGATTAATTTTCAGAAGGTATGGAGAGCAAAAATCCACCTTAAGTGGATTTTTTTTTTTTTACAAATTAGATCAAAACCACATTTGGAGGTTGTTTGAAATGCGATTCCAATCGGATTTCTACAGATCCAACTCAGTCCGCGCACTCACACACAGCATCAAATCCAAAGTGATGGAGGACAGCATGGAGAATAATGGAGATAATAATAATAATAATACATTTAATTTAAAGGCGCCTTTCTAACACTCAAGGACACTGTACAATAAATTAAAAAAAATACATATGAACTCAGTTCAACTTTTAGAATGCAGCAGCGCGCACCGCATGTCGTGACAAGAGCCAACCAATCACAGCTGACGGATATCTTTCCTTTCATCCGTAAATATCAGTCTGTGATAAATACGGAGAGGAAGTTGATCATTTTTGTGCAGAGCTGTCAGAGCTCAACATCTGTCCCACAGACAATAGGCCTACACACAAACAGCGCCTAAGAGAAGATCAGCTCTGCACTCAGGATTTCTGGTGAATAGGCTATGATAAAGAACTTGTTGAGGTTGCCACACTCTAGAATGCTGGTGCAGAAAAGACAAGTAGCACCCAGCTCATGACCTCACGTTTTCCAGGCTTTTAAAGACTCAGCATATGTGCGGCCCTTTAGCTAGTGGAAAAAGTTAGCTTTTATTTATTCAAATATATTTTCTTTATTCCTGTAAAAACTGTTTGTAAAATCAGGGATAACTTGCTGGATGTTGTAAAACACCAACTAAGTTCAAGCACTTGTGCTTCTAGTTTTAAATGATTTCAATTATTTTTTTGGATTGTCCTTTTATAGGTTCGTCAGGTGACGACAGACAGAGCGTAGCCATGAAGGATTTATTGGACGCCATATATCCCAGAGTCCCAGACTACGTGGTCAGACTGGAGCCCATTCAAACCACTACCAAGGCCGTGTTCCAGTACCTCACCACAGAGGAGGAGCTGGCCAGATATCCATCGCACACACCAAGGTAGGTGGTGTACGCTGGTGGATTAGAGTGTGCTGTAACTTTTAAAATGTAACTTATTAGGTTGCGCGGTTGTTCGTCGAGGAACACAACACAAATCCTGGTTGCGCAATATGGTTTCTTTAGACGTGACTTCTTGTCTTGTCAGACCCTCATTGTTTGTCTCAACGTTCCTCACAGTGCCAGAGAAAGTCCTGTAGCATGGGAAGGCGAACAAGTGGAGGGTGTGGACACCAACCAGACGAGCCAGCCGGGAGGATCAGAGAGCCACAGCAGCCCAGGACACAATCAGGGACAGAGGAGATGGGAGGCTGAGGAGGAGGCTAAAGAGGAGCAGCCACAGCATGAAGACGAGGGTTCCACTAGTGGGGTAGGTGACCAGGCATAGTAAAGGCAGCGGGCTCGGACTAAATATACAACAAGTGTCATTGCTAGGATGTGTCGCATAGTTATCCACATTGCCTCGTTTAATATAGTCAGTTGTTTACTCCTGTCTTTGTTGTCTCCCTCCCATCCAGGTTGAGGACGTAACAATCTCCTGTTGTCTATGCGGTCAGGACTTCAACTCACGCCGGAGCATCAGACGCCACTGCCGCAAAATGCACCAGACCAAACTGGAAGAGCTTCGAAAGTTCACAGAGACACGTACAGTGCCCACAAGCCTGCTCTCTATGGTGAAAGGTAAGAGGTCAATCAAATTACAATGAAAAACTACGAAAACGATTGAATGTGGTGATTTCAAAATATTCGTCAGAATGATAAGATATTGTTTTGTGTTTAATTTTTTTTGTCATAGAAATCATTTTAATTTTAGCTTTCAAAGGAAACACATGAAATAATAACCCTTGTTTTTGTTGCTGCAGGTCGGCCAAGGACTCTCAGCACACCGACTGGAAAATCCTGCCCAGTGTGCCTCAAAACCTTCGCCACCAAAGCCAATGTACGCCGTCACTTTGACGAGGTGCATCGCGGTCTACGGAGGGACACCATCACACCCAGCATCGCCTCACGGCCTGGCCAGCCCTTCTCTCTGGAGGTCACACCCCCCAGGAAGAGCAACAATGCCTCTCCAACCCGTGCCCCCAACTCCAAGCCCACCCCTGTGAACACTAAACCGACACCTTCAAACCAAAACCAGCCCAAACCTCAGAGTCCAGCCTCGAACTCTCAACAGGCAACCACAGCCTCGTGTCGCTGCACGCTCTGCAAGAGGAACTACAGCTCTCAGGTTTGTTTGTTGGCAGCAAGATATACACTCAGTTGTTTCTTAGAGATTGGGAGTCACAATGACTATGAAGATGTACCTCATACAGCCCCACTTCAAAACTCCTCCTTTAAATTGGACTAATCATGTTTATTCTAAAGGAGGAAAATTAATTAATTGATGTTGATTTTTTTCTGTGTATTTCAGCTCATGTTGAAGAGACACATGCGTATTGTCCACAAAATATACAGCATCAAAAGTAACAGGCCCTCTACCACTCCAGCCCCCTCTACTCCGGCACCGACTCCTAACAGCACTAACGTAGGCACAAGCAACAGTGTCAGAGTAAAAGAGGAAGCAGTGGAGCACTCAGAAGAAGAAGAAGACGATGAGGAGGAGGAGGATATTGACAGCAGTCCAGCCCCGTCACCCAGTGACAGCACTGGGACAGCTAAAGGTGTTCCTGTGGCACAAAGCCCCATGAAGGTGAAGGAGGAGGAGGCCCCCTCGAGCCCGAAGATGACGGCATCCTTTCCTCCGTCATCCTCGCGCGGTGGCAACATGTGTAGCGGGAGCCTGCCTGCCAAAATGACCAAACTGTCAGTTGGTTTTGACTTCAAGCAGCTCTTCTGCAAACTGTGCAAGCGACAGTTCAGCTCACGTCAGAACTTGACAAAGCACATTGAGCTGCACACAGACGGCAACGACATCTTCATTAAGTTCTACCGCTGCCCTCTCTGCCGCTACGAGTCACGCCGCAAACGCGACGTCCTGCGCCATGTGACTGTGGTCCACAAGAAGTCGTCTGCCTACCTCGCCAAGATCATGCCCAAACTGGAGAGCAGGGCGGTGAAGAGGCTAGCTGAGGTAGTCCTCAACAGTTCCACCCCCACCAAGAGGACAAGTAGCGTCGCCAAAGAGGAAGTGAACGGACGTCACGCTTCTTCATCCTCCTCTTCCTCTTCTCCCTCACCTCCTATCACTCGCAAGCAAGAGTGCTCCACATCTGCCCCAACCACCTTATCAGCCACCTCCTCCTCCTCCTCGGCCCCACCTCCTGCTGCTGTCACTCGGAAACAGCTGGACCTCTCATCACCAGCTTTCACCCCGTCCCCTCCTGTCACCCGCAAGCAGGAGAGACAGCAGACCCACCCGCCTCGTCCCATCAGCCCCCCGCTGACCCGCCGTAGTGAAAAACACACACATCAACGCAACTCCTCCTCCACCACCACCAGCTCGGCCAGCAATCAAACCCCACACACCCGACGACATGACACTCAGTCGGAGAGCAGCGGCACGGGGTCGTCGTCCTCCACTGAAGTTAGAGTGACCAAGAACTTCTCCCTGCACGCCTGCGACCAGTGTGGACGAGCCTTTGCCAAGAAGGTATTGGATTTTCAATTACTGACATAAATTTCTCCTTTTTTTTAAAAGAAACACCTTGTAGACTTTTTCCAAGTGAGAAATAACATCATTTGTCACTAAACTTTAAAGGTACAGTTCATCCCAAAATAAAAACATATATTTTATCTCTTACCTGTACTGCTACGTATCAATCCAGGCCTTACCCGCACTAATACATTTGCACTTCAAAATGCAAAACTATTGTTGCATATATACCTATATACCTGTCTCCGCACTACTCTGGCATTTTGGAACATACATTCAGGTCCATATATATTTTAGCTGTTTACCAAAACATATCCAAGATACAGTTATATAATCAGTATCGGCTTAAATTGCAGACTCTCAGCTTTAATCGAAGGGTATTCACACCCAAATTGGAGGAAGGGTTTAGGAATTACAGCTCTTTAATATGTAGTCGCCTCCTTTTTACGTGACCAAAAGTAATTGGACAATTAACTCAAAAGCTGTTTCATGGGCTGCATGGGCTATTCTGTCTTTAATCCATCATCAGTTAAGCAGGTAAAAGGTCTGGAGTTGATTCCAGTTGTGGCATTTGTATTTGGAAGCTGTTGCTGTGAACCCACAACATGCAGTCAAGGGAGCTCTCAATGGAAGTGAAACAGACCATCCTTAGGCTGAAAAAAGAAGAAGATATCCATCAGAGACATAGCGGAAATGTCAGGAGTGGCCAAATCAACAGTTTTGTAGTGGTGTGCTCAGGAACTCAAAAAGGCCTGGACATCCGTGGAAGACACCAGTGGTTGATAATCACAGGATCCTTACCATGGTGAAGAAAAAATCCCTTCCAGCCACGTGAAGAACACTCTCCAGGAAGTAGGTGCATCAGTATCTAAGTCTACCATAAAGAGAAGATGTCATGAGAGCAAATACAGAGGGTTCACCAAGGTGCAAACCATTAATCAGCCTCAGAAATTGAAAGGCCAGATTAGACTTTGTCAAAAAACATCTAAAGAAGCCAACCCAGTTCTGAAACAGCATTCTTTGGACAGATGAAACTAAGATCAACCTGTACCAGAATGAAGGCTTGGAAGGACACATGACCCAAAGCACACTGCATCTTCTGTAAAACATGGTTGAGGCAGTGTGATGACATAGGCATGCATGGCTTCCAATGACACTGGGTCACTAGTGTTTATTGATGATGTGACAGAAGCAGCAGGATGAATTCTGAAGTGTATGGGGATATACTTTCTGCTCAGATTCAGCCAAATGCAGCAACGTTGACTGGACGGCGCTTCACAGTACAGATGGACAATGACCCAAAACAAACTGCGAAAGCAACCCAGGAGTTTTTTTAAGACAAAGAAGTGGAATATTCTGCAACGGCCAAGTCAATCACCAGATCTCAACCCGATTTAGCATGCATTTCACTTGCTTAAGACAAAACTTAAGGCAGAAAGACCCACAAACAAGCAACAACTGAAGACTGCTGCAGCAAAGGCCTGGCAAAGCATCACAAAGGAGGAAACCAAGCGTTTGGTGATGTCCATGAGTTCCAGACTTCAGGCGGTCATTGCCTGCAAATGATTCTCAACAAAGTATTAAAAAACAAACATTTTATTTTTGGCAATGTTAATTTGTCCAGTTACTTTTGAGCCCCTGAAATGAGGAGAAAATGGTCGCAATTCCTACATGTTTCATAGGATATTTTTATTCAACCCCTTGAATTAAATCTGAAAGTCTGCGCATATCAGTTGTTTCATTTTAAATCCAATGTGGTGGCATGCAGAGCCCAAATCATGAAAATTGTGCCACTGTCTAAATATTTCTTGGCCTAACTGTATGTTTCTAATTGCCCCGACTTTCTTCGACGATGGATAATGCTCCTGTTACTGCTCTAATATGTTGCCGTATTTGCTTTGTAGCAACTTGATATTGGCCAAAGAGATGTATGCCTTCTCTCAAATATAATCGAGCTAGATGGCACTCAGCTTGGGGTGCGTGATGCGCTAAAAAAATTGGCCATTGTTACTTTAAAGCTGTCTCAACTAGTCGTTTAACTCCATATTATGAAACTAACCCTCTGCAGCATGTATCTGTGTACTGTGTATGGATTTATTCAAAGTGAATGATCTTCTCTTTCAATTTTTTTGTCAGCTGTACCTAGAGTCTCACAAGCGAAGTCACCGTAATGCAGCGACGGCAGCAGCCAGCCGGAGGAAAGGAGTCAGCACCCGCTCCAAATCCCTGGTCTGGTGAAACACACATACTGTAAGAACACAAGAGGGTTTACCTGCTGTACAAGGACTCTGCTGCTTCATCGCTGTCTGTTTGTCCTCCTCTCATTCCTTTTTTCTCTGGATTTCCTACTGTCTTGTTTTCTCTCTCTGCAAATACTGCTGCTGTTGTGTATTCAGAAACCACAAAGTGCGTGTGTACTCGAGCAACTTAGTGAATGTCTGCGTGTGCGAGTTTGCTTGTGATACAAGGATTTCCTCTGCAGCGAGAGAGGTGTGTGTTTATGTTTGTGTAGAAGACCATTCCCCAGGGCAAAGATAAGACACCACGCTGATTCTGCAGGCTTTAATTGACCGCTAAGCACGTTCACCAGCTGTTTCCTGTGTTCTTCCTCTCGCTCTATTTCTCCTTGTATCAGTCTGCTCATTAGAAATCTTCCCTTTTGTCTAATTGCCACTTTTTTATGCATCTTTCCTTTCTTCTCTTGATCTTCCCCCTTACTCTATATTCTCTCTTTCTTTTTGTTCTCCTCTTTCCTTCTTCTCCATCTTCTCTCTTCTTCTTTTTCTCTCTTTGCTCACAGTCCACCAGGGATAACGGACGAGCGAGCCTCTAACAATGAAGAAGCGAATCAAAACGTTCAATTGGGAATATAATAGATGAACGGAACGAGCATGGTGCAGAGATGAAGGAAACAAACCAAGAAAGGAACAATGGAGCACAACAGAGGAGTGAAGTACAAAGGATTTCCACCTTTTGCTTACGAACCACATATATTGTTGGAATCTGACATTGTTTGTTTGTATAGTTTCATTATGAAGCCAGCCAGCTTGCTGGACGGTGGCGCTGCTATCCACGGAGAGACTGTAGGAACGGAAGAATAACCACCACTGCATTCATCTATATTTACTTACAACTGTATGTAAGTATAGATCCAAATGCAGATGGCTGATTCGTACTGCTTTGCTCTCATAAGCAAAAGGATGAAGGTACACTATGGAAGTGTGTGTGCGTGTGTGTGTGCATGTGTTTGCGGGTGTGCGAGCATTTGTGAGAAAGACAGGGAATCAGGACTGGATCCACGGAAAAAAGACTGGAAACTTTTGTTTTTTTTGTAGAAAGCATAATTTGATTGGACCCTCGCAGTCCCACACAGATATACAAAACATATTTGGGTCCTTGGCTGTAAGCATTTTATTCCTTTTCTGTATATTCACACCTTACTAAGTGTTTCTAGGGTGTTTACAAGTTGATATATTCAAGACCACTTGACAATTCAATGCTACAGCAGATAACAGATGATAGATTTTTTCCTTCACTTGTATTTTCTCAACATGATTCCACTGATAGTTGGAGCACAGTTGCTTCCTGCTATCTAAAGGCACACACACACCAAACCGACAGCAGAGACCTAGTAGCCATGAAGGCCAAGTGTTGCGTCGCCTGATGTTGCCTGTGTCTCGGCCAAAAAGTTGCCAACCAGCACATTCGTTCTGCGCCTGTATGAGAGGCAGTAATTCTCCATACCAGTCGGCGGCATATTTGTCATTCAAAAAGGGAAAACAGAAGTTTGACTGGATGTATAGAAGAAGCTAGTTAGCCAGTTAGCACATTAACAACACAACCCGATGTTGAAAGAACAAAGGATATTTACTGTGTGCCAGCGAACAATAACAGCAAATACAGCTATAAACCGTTTCTACTAAAGAGCACAATCGCTAAAACTGATCTTACCTAATATAACAAGACTTCAGTTGTTTACTTTCCTCACTTCTGTGTTTCTTCTCATACACTGAGCTCAACTGCCAAACAGAGTGATTTATTCACCAACCATCTCTGACACCAACTCAATATGTTGAATCAGCCACAAAAAGACGATAAGGGCCGACTAGTACCAACGGTGCACGACATGCTGCGAAAAGTAGGGCGACGGATGGCCTGACGTTTATCAAAGGCTGACTGTTGGCTTGGTGTGTCAGGGGCCCTGCAGAACCATTTCCACCTATCATTCTTCATAAGATTAGCTGCCTGCCTTACAGTTGAAAATTACGTTTATGTTCTAATGTAAATGTTGCAACTGAGAGTTGTAATATTATTCATGTACGCAGTCTATAGAGTGATTATTTTGTATCTGCTCTACAGTGACCAACAGCAGCTTGGGTAAATTGTTCATTAATTACAGGGTACGGACACAGTAAGGGAAGCCCTGAAGTATATGTTTTAGTTTTCCTTGAAAATTGTGTGTTTGCTTTTTTAGAAAACAACCGAAAAACTGTTATCAATTTCCAGAGATCAATTCTGTTTTCCTCACGTGTTGCTGTTAAGTTCTGCCTTTTATGTGTGACTGCATGTAAAAAAACCATTAGTTAAGGATGACCATATCCTGGTTTACCTCCATGTATTAGCTGACTTATTTGTCCCAGTAATCGCCTGGTTGTAAGAAAGTAGTCAAGCTTTGTGAGGCAAGACCTCAGTGAGAGACTGTTTATACCTGGTATTAACATACGCTCCAGTGATCCCAACACAAGTGGACAGCCGAAACGCTTTGCCGTTCACACCTGTGTCTGTCTTGTGTCTTCAGTTGACTGCTTGTTCGGATTTCATTACTGCCCTGCACGCAGCTATTACATCCGTACTCTCAACACTCATGTTAGCTTCTGTCGGTACAGATGGAGATATGATGATGATGGACGTTTAGTTTAGTTTAGTTTAGTAATCTTTATTTCGAACATGCAAACAAATGAATAAATAAATAGCAGAAGAAAACAAAACAAAAACAGTATTTGTAACAAGAACAAGTGTAAAGCCACTGAATTAGAAAAATAATCTATAAATAATAATAATACAAAAGCAAACAATTTACAATACAAACAAAACAAAAAAAGAAACAGAGACGCACTAAGTGGTCTTGTGTTTACAGTAAAAAGAAGTAAAAGTGAAGTAAAAAACTTAACGTTCATGAATCACTTCATCTAACTTTTGAAAAATGGACAAGTTAGAGACTGCTGTCACCAAAATAGCCACCACGTCCTGCATTAATGACATAGTCACTGTCGGGGATGTATTAGGATACATTTGTGTTCGGCCCTGATCACACAGAAAGTGTTTACGCAGCTGGAGGCGCCTATTTGTAATAATTTTAAATGAGAATGAAGCTTTTTGCTTGCAGTTTTTGCGTTGCGACGTTCCTCGCGTGTCTGCCTTCTAAGTGCCTGATGAACTTCAACACAAAGCAGAAAAACGCTCCACGTCTCTTTTTTCGTCACATTTTTTTCCATTATCCAATCAGATGATTTGAGAGGCGGGCCTTCTGTGGTGGTCACAACAACAAGTTTACAGTTGGTAAACAATGGAGGAAAAACTGGTGGTAGCAGTTGGTGGATACCCAGAGCTATACGGCCTGACGGTAGACAGCAGGTTGTCAAACTGCCCCAGAGTCATCATTGAGGGGAAGCACCTGGACTAACTGGTGGTGCTCCCCATGATCCACCCTCTTTTTTAGGGTATCATGTACCCACACAGATCTCCGTTTCCCTGTGCCCAACAAACTATTTACTGACAGCCTCTCACCCTCAACCAGAGCTACAGCAAGTACCCTGTGCCTCAAAACTAGATGCTAATTACTGTCAAATACCTAAAACAGAATGATTACACAGGTAGGTTAGAATAAGGAGGTGAGTCCGTGGTTGCCTGGCAACAAAACAAAGGTGCAGCAAGGGCTTTTTATCACAAGTGGCGGCCAATTAAAACAATAAGGCAGTGCAGCGTGCTTCGTGCTTTTCACCTCCATGTGTGAACGGATAACCCAAGTCGATGTTAACACCAGGTATAAACAGGTCCAAAGAAATCAGTCTGTGAACTGAGGGAGTCTTGTTCTGAAATGAGACAACCATTTTGGGACAAAAATGACACAGAATAACCAAAATCCGATAAATGGCACTAAGTATGATGATTTGAAATGATGCAAGGTGCCACGAGCAAAACATTTAACCTATCAAATTATTACCCTATTACCCCCTATGGTTAATCACTTGTGTGAGAATCTAATTTTCAGAGAGCAGGAAAGGTGGGACTGCACATATTATAAAGGAGTAAAGTGTGTTTGAACAGGTTGATGTTACAGTAACAGCCACAACACATCAGATATCAGAAACCATTAACTGGAAGAATTGCTTTTCTGTGTTCGGTGAAGTATCGTTGACCACCGTCATCTTGCTTGTCGCTCAGCAGTAGCTGACCCTAGATGATATGTTGACATGTCAGCTGTAGTGCCTCAGCAGCAGGTGTAACAGGATTGAGTCAACACCAGCTGTTTGTGAATTTGTGGTGCTATTCTTGATTATGACGGGCCAAAATGTGGGAGCTGGGGAAAAGAGAAAGCAACACGCCCTGGCAAGCTAAACAGTTCTGTTCTCCGAACTTAAAAGTTTACATTAAACTTTTCGTTCCATTAAGAAAAAAAGCCAGGAGTCATTCATGTAAACCTTGTTAACTTTTGTTTTGTGCTCAAACTTAAGGGGGCTGCGTTTCTTTAACGACAGCAACAGGTACCCCGAGGTAGTCTTTGAAACACTGGCACACGAGTTGGGAGGAAAGTGCTTGAGGAAGACCAAATGTAGATATGTCTTAATGTTCAAACAGAAAGCCATGAAATGGAACAAAACCAGATAGGAAAGACCAAACTTTATTTTTATAAGTGAAAACGCTACCGTGACAAGGTCTTGAGAACATGTATATATGGAATTATCCTGCACGGATGGTATAAATAATAGTTATAATAGTCACAATAGTTATTGACTTATACTTAACTGTTGATTGACCATACGCTTCGAACATGTCCAACTAGTTACCGCTGTGTCACTGTTTAATACTGAGGCAAGTTTGTTCCACGATTAGTTGTCTTTTTTGTATCTCATTCCTTTTTGAAGGAGGTTTTTGTTGGAATGTGTCAAGACGAGAACAGAAATCAAACCTCAAGAGACTTCTCTTTTTTTTGTTTTGTCATTTTCTTTGCTCATCAGCTGTAATATGTTATTAAGCTCACCTTCTAGAGATCTTGAGAAGAGTTAGAGAAGCCTTTCAAATGTGACAAGAATGTTAAAACCAACCACTTAATAAATAAAAATGTACTGCTTCAAACCTCACTGGGGAGTTTTGCGTGGCTTTTTTGTCCACAGATATGAGTCATATACTTCCATCAATCACGTTTGTTTACTGCGTTTTGCAGAGAGGAGATTTCATTTGCTTTCTCAGGAATTGCATCCGTGGGCATTAACATTTTTGCTTTTCTTATTCGAGATTTCTAGTTTCCATTTTCACACTATTTCCTGTGCTGCAATACATCAATTGTGTCGACGTCTCAGAGTGGCACAGGGATTTATGTCACTGACGTCAGTAAGAGACAATGTTTCAGTGCAGATCGCCTCAGAAACAGCTGAAAAACACACATTTGTATGAGATAATGTGCAATTTGAAAAGATCTGAAGGAAGATAACAATGTCAGAGTCATTTCTGCTTTGGCTTTGAGAATATAAATGTGTAGCAGAAAGTCTGGTTCACAAAGTGGAGCTGTGGGAAAAGATAATCAACTCTCAAGGTCAAAGGTTATCTTAATTTACGTCTGTGCTGGGCTATGTCAATGTTTTATACATACACACACTGCTGTGTACCATGGAGCACTGAGATTTATCACAAAGCTTTTACTCACTGTTGCTCTCTGTATGCACGGGTTGGACGGTCTGTCTTGTCCACCCACCGACTCAATCATTGGCACATTCTTATTTATGATGCTAGTCTTGGTCTGCTAACTTCTTACCTACAGATCTACCGTCTGCACAAAAGTATAGGAAGTTATTATCTTCGCTCTCAGAACTTATTCTTGTAAAGTCTGTACTGAACTGGGGAAAAGGTGTGTAAGTGTGCTGCTCCCTCGGCTTAGAATCAGTCGCAACTTTACCTAAGTATTCGGGAGCTTGTCTCATTGGACGGATTGGAAGTTTTTAAATGACTCTGAAGAAGTCACATCTTGTAGATGTTTTGAATGATTGCAGAATGTTTTGATGTCTAATAATTTATGTAAATTGTTCTGTGTTCATTTTAAATCAATCCATGTTTCAACCTGCTCTCACTCCCAACTCCTCAAATACCAATGCTTAGCCAGTGGCCCGAGGCGTCTGATACCGAGGCAGCCTTTAGCAGTGGTATAAGATACACCGGATGATGGCATTTTCTGACACTCTGAGCAACTGTCGTAGGATTAAAAGCAAAAACGTCCATACTGTAAAAGTGGGAAACAAACTCCTGACCCGGGAGACTGCTGTTCATGTCCTGTGTGACACGAAAAGTCATTATTTTAAGCAACAACGTAATGTCCCAGTATGTGTCGCATACTTTGCTAACCATGTATGTGACATTTGCTATGTGATGTTATGTTAGCAACATACTTTCAGATCTGAACTGAACTGAAGAAGCTTCTTGGATGAGAAGACGAAACGTCTTCAAGAAACGCAAGCAAGTCCAGTTGCCTACGATAAAGCACTTATGAGTTTTGGCCATTGTTTTTCTCATCTGTCTCTCCCAAGTTCTCCAGCTTTATAGAAGTGCAGTGATAAATAAGTTGAGTAACCCTTTAACCACCAAGAGGTGGTAAACTTCCTTACAGATATGACTAACTTCAAAGGAACCTAAAGAAGTGAATGAATCTGTATTTTACTGGGGACCTGCAAGGACTCTTGATGGTTAAGGTGAGGCTGTTTTAATTAACCGTATATATTGTCATAATGTATCTTATTTTATCCATCCATCCATCCATCCATCCATCCATTTTCATCCACTTATCCAGGGCCAGGTCACGGGGGCAGCAGGCCAAGCAAAGCACCCCAGACGTCCCTCTCCCCAGCAATACGTTCAAGCTCCTCCTGGGGGACTCAAGGTGTTCCCAGGCCAGATGAGATACGTAATCCCTCCAGTGTGTTCTGGGTCTGCCCCTGGGCCTCCTAGCAGTGGGACATGCCAGGAACACCTCCAGTAGGAGGCGCCCAGGAGGCATCCTGATCAGATCATAAAATCGTCTATTGTAAAGTAGCAGTAACTCTAGCTGTCAGATAAATGTAGTGGAGTAAAACAGACAAGATTACCCTCTGACATGTACAGGAAGAACAAAGTAGGCATGAAGTGAAAATACGTACCTCCAAACTGCACCAAAGTATGTGAGTAAACTAAAAGGTCTGACCACATAACTCCTATTTTATCTTCTCTTTTCTGGCTCCCAATAAAACAAAGAATTGATTTTAAACTACGTTATTGTTTTGAAATGTTTTAATGGTTTAGCTCCTTCCTATGTTGCTGACATGCTGACATGCTCACAGGGCACACACCAGAGAGATCAGAGAGATCACCAAATAAAGGTCTACTCATTGTACCTAAACTTTTGTTCGGTATGCATTTTCTGTTTTCCCTAGCTATCTGAGATCAGTAGGACCTGCTAAATATAAAAAAATAAACACTGTCAACGATAATAAATAAATAAAGTCCTTATATCCTCAAACGAAACAACAATAAAGTCCTTATGTCCTTAAAGGAGACCATAATAAAGTCCCAATGTTCTTCAGTGAGCTAATGAAAAATTCCCGAGTACTTTCTGATTAACAGTGTCTTAGCTTGTTACTGTTGCTATAATTGTAATTACATTTGTTCAGCTTTTGGACCTTGTCTTTTGTGTCAGTATCGGCTGCAGACTGACTTGGTAGAGATGGCTGCCATCTTGTTTTGACATGGATTAGTGTATTAGTATTAGTAGATAGTATTAGTGGATTAGTCTTACTGCCACTAGATGGCACAAGAAGGTGTCCACAAACGAGGACAAGAGGTCGAAATTAAGTTGAATGGTAAACCAGTAAACCTAAAATGTAATGTGCACAGGGTCTCAGGAGGATATAGTTAAAGTTAAGTTAGCCTACATGTAGTCTGAGTGGGCGGAAGTTCACTGCACAGATCAGCCTCTCATTGGGCGGAACGAGCCACCTGCTAAAGTCCCGCCCTACCACCTCCGGTTGCAGTTTTCAACACGTCCTTTACTAACTTTTGTGGTGTTTGATCTTGCGGGGATGTAGCCATTTTTCTGCCATGGTTAGCGTCCTATAGGAGATATTTTTGTGGGAGTATTACACAAAAACCTGTTTCCCCCCGGCAATATTTTTGCAAGCGCACCGTTGCTGTGGCACCACCCAGAACGATTGTGATCGGATGAAAGAAATACAAGCAGCCGGGGCGTTTTTTTCTCCAATCTTAAAGTGAGAGTTGGCCCAGCCAGACCTTTGTTTTCTTGAGAAAGGTCTGGTGAGCGAGACTAGCATACATGTAACCGGTGGACTTTAGTGATGTCTGCGTTGTGTAAATATAAAGAGGTCCATACCGTGGATATCTTCGGAGGCGTTCTCCGTCTATTCCTCTCCTGACAACAAGTGGCAAAAACACAACCACACAAACTCCAGCCTCTACACAAATCAAGCGACACAAGATTATGTTTGCATAAAATGAACTTATAAACATATCTCAACAGCGCTAAAACACGAACATTACCACAAGAGCAATGTCGCTTACCTCTCCCACAGAGCACAACAGCAAAAGGGGAGAGGTAAGGTAGGAGACACCTGTTTATAGGTGGGGTACCCTTAAAGGTGAACATAGGGATACAGAAACTGAGTATTAGACGCTCCACATAGTACGGAGGCCTAAACGTGTCAGGTCATAACAACTGTCCTTCAGAAGCTCCACTTGCTCCCTGTCCTGCAATGCATCCAATTCAAAGTCCTTCTCCTCACTTATAAAGCCCTCTATAACCAGGGCCGCTCCTACCTCACTGACCTGCTCCACCGCCACGCGCTCCTCTGATGCCAAACTCCTGACTCGACCACTCAGGGCCAAGCACCGAACCTGGGGCGCCAGGGCCTTCTCTAGTGTCTTTGAGTACCTTGAAAAGCCTTCTATAAATAAAAAAAATGTATTATAATTAACTGACCCTGTTACACACATTCCTCTACTACAAGTGTACCTCTTAGAAAAAAGGACACTTCCTGCACTGTCACTTCCAGGTGCTTGTTTCTCTGTTGCAATGACGCGCATTTGGCCACGAGATGGCGGCATCGCCCCGCGCACCTCCACCCGTCCGCCGCAGCCGTAGAGCCACAAATTGGACATGTTGCGCACATCTTGCACATTGTCACATGAGGGAGAACACCCCGGCCTGTTTCGATTGCCTGGTTTTTTCACTCCACACAGCTTATCAAATTGTTATTACACAGCAGATGGGATGCGGTTCATTTATTTAATTCCATTCACCACAAAGAGCCATGGCGCTATGGTTTTTACAAGAGATGGTGGGGGGGGATCAATGGGCGCAGTAAAAATGGATTGAAGTTGAGGCAATTAAGAGTGTGGCGCAACGCCTCTGTGAGCATATTTTTGATGACTTATTAATGTGCTCAAATAACCAAAGCCCTCCATTGTGGAAACTATCGATCCGATTGATTGGTAATAAACTTGATTGAATGTGTGGACTCTGCCGCGCGACAGTGGCGCAATTAGCCGATGATTTGGTGCCTGGGTCGGGCTGAGCCGGACCACTGGGATGCCTCAGATACATATGTTTCATGTACTTCATTCGGCAGTGGAGTCGTGCGCTGTCCCTTTCAGCACCGACGACCGGAGGAGCTGGTGGAGCTGGTGGAGAGAGGAGAGAGGAGAGAGGAGTGCTGTGCGCGCGCGACCGTTGGAGCAGCGCGAGCGCACTTGACGGCAAAAGAGGGGGTTTATGCTGCAAAGTGCGGGGAAGCTCCGAGAGGAGCATGGATGAAAATCAGGTGCGTTTTGCCAACATTATTGATCATGGCTGACAGATTCCGTGCATGATGAATTCCTCTGCTCTCCTCTCCCTCCCTCCCCTCCCTCACTCCTCCTCCTCCTCCTCTTCCTCTCCTCTCTCTGTATCTGAGACTCATTCTTGGGTATTGACTTCATTACAGGCAGCCTCTTAAACAAGCGCGGGCTCCATAATTGCATTTTCATCACTAAAAGCAGCTCTTCTGGTCACTACGGAGCACTTTTTTTTTATTATCTCCTACATATATCTCCTATATATCTTCTT